GATCTGCACGTAAGACCCGTCCTCCCACCCCACAAAACAAACCACAACAACACGAAACACACGAAATGAACAACAAGAAGGCAAATAAAAACATTGTACTCTTCCAAGTGAAGATTTTACACGACCGGCAGAGTTGTCATCCTCTCCCGCTCCTTCACCCCGTGGTTTTTCTGCCGCCGACGCTGCCACCGCCGTCTTGGCTGCTGGTACTGCTATCCTCCTCGACCGCGCTGGGATCTCCGAAAGGTGCCGTCGTTTTCTGGGAGATGTACACCGTCGCCGACCCCCAGCTCATGGGAAACATGTCATGCTCCAGTACTTTGAAATAGGCGGCCTGTTTTTCGGCCGGGCGGGCGGGCGGGCGGGCGGGCGGGCGGGGAGGGGAGGGGATGTTGAACAGGAGGCTCGATCGTAACGTGTACCGGTGCGTGTCAGCAGGGGGAAAGCGTCGGAGCAGCGGACGAACGCATAGACACTCTAAGCTCGTGGGGTTGTTGTGTGTACCAGTACAGCGCGAGGTGTCGTGTGGGTTGTTGTCATTTAGAGTACGTAGAAAACAACGGGGTTGTTTCCGCGGCAGTTGCAGAGTCGCACGTGGTGTGCATACAAAGAAGAACCGATGATGGGCGGACAAAGAACGGAGACGGACGTGCATCAGCCCCCAAGTCAAACAATTCACAAAAAAAAAACAAATGCTCACCTCTTTCTGGTGTCGGTTTATTTTGCTGCTGCCTAAACATGCACGAGGCTAAACCCGCAAGAACAAGCGATAGGCTATGAAGGATGCGGGGATGGCAACCTCTTTGAGCGGGTCACTACAACGCTGTCAGACGTTAGCTGACGAAACGCCGCTATATGCGCTACCGCCGTCCCTTGCACAGCTGCTGCTGCTGCTGCTGCTGCTGCTGCTGCTGCTACGCACTCTCAGCACTTGCAACGAGACCGTCATCGCTGAGATCTCTACAAAACACACACACACATACTACAAAATGAGCACCCTTCGCACACGGACGGGTGGTAAGTATTTGCGTGTCTCCTTGGCGTCGCCACCCACCGGCAAGCGCTTGGTGAGGGTGATGAAGATGGTGCCCTTCTTGAGGGCCGTGGCCGCGCTGGCCAGCCTCCTCATCAGGGTGTCGTCGAAACAGGTGCTGTTCGCGAACACCACGGTAGCGTCGCTCCAGTCACACACATTCATGTCCAGGGCATCTCCGAGGAAGAACTCCACCTCTACAAGAGAGAAAACAAGAAGTGATAAAGCCACAAGACATGTGACAGCATATCGGTGGTCAATGTCCAGTACCTACGGCGGACTCAAATCATTCTGTCCTCGATCCGACACCTCCTCTTGGGTGGGTGCTCTGTTGACGAACAGAGCGAATTTCGGGGGCCGCTTACAGTAGCTTACCCAAACAACCGAAACCACGAATCATCACATCATGCAACAGCACATGTGTGTGTGTTTTCTTGCCGTCGCACACCAGGACACAACACCAGAAGAGCACTTTCGTACGACACCCCATCTACACGCACGCGACAAACAACCACGCCGTTTCTTCTCTCTCTCTCTCTCTCTCTCTCTCTCTCTCTCTCTCTCACTATCTCTCTCGATTGACACAGCATGGGCGGCGTAGACTGTTACATCGCAGCAAGCAAAGCATCAAGCAAAGCAACAAGCAATGCAGCCAAGCGGTAACAACTCGCCCACTCACTCGTTGGTTCCTGCCCGTGGCCGACCCTATCCCGAATTCCCCCGTCCCACGCCTTGAGCAACTCCCAGGAGGTAGCGCACAGCCCTTCCAAAATCTGCACCCCCGCAGACGACAAGCAGGTGTGCACGTAGCAGCAGGAGTTTTCGCAAGAATTGACGGTCGAGCGTGCCTGACTTGGCGTTTGCACAGCTTGTAACGAACCGAGGCAAAAGTTATCCGAAAGTACTGCCGGCTCGAAGTTGCTTCGGGATGTCGTGGGTTGGAAACGAAGCGGGTTGCAAATGTCTGCGTAGGTGTGCACGCGGCGGGAGCATCGTCTGATGGTCTAGCAAGCTCTGGGACGTGACGTCGACATCAGCCCAATTCACGAAAGCACGCAAGACATGCACCACACTACCTGCCCACCCTCCCGCGTTATTCGTTTTGCGTGCCAGCACAAGATGAAAACACTAGAAGAGGCTTTGTTTCTTCGGAGGACAAGCCTTTCCGCGAGGAGTAGAGAGAACAACCAACCGAAGCGATGTTCACCTCTGTTTTTCTGCCAGCACGGCGTAATCCCAGCTAAAACCATCAGGTATTCACGCACACCGCTGTAAATACCAGTATTGCACACTTGTAGTGCGACGTTCTCTTGCGCGCAAGGCGGCTGCCCTCTTTGATGCCAGCTCTAGCAGCAAACCGCGTACCCATCGCTCTCTAAACATATTGCTGCTGGTGGGCTACTGCGACTCTTTCCGCCGGTGCGTGCGTCGGCCGTGAAACAGAAAAAAAAACTACGGCGAGCGATCAGAGCCAACTATCGTGGTCGTCTTATCTTGATCACGGTTTTCCTCCGAGCCCTATGTTTCTTTTAAAAAAACCCAGACCAGGCGTTAGTGCTACCAAGCGCCATGCTACGTACTGTGACGCGTGCCGGACGCGATGAGGACTGATGCGGGCTCACCTCTATCCCCACCGCCTTGTGAAAGGGATGCAGAATGGCGGCCGCGAAAACCTTTTATCCATCGCGTAAAGCGCGACAAGCGGCAGCAGCAGAAACAGGCAATGATCATGAAGAACGCGCTGGAGCCGGAACGTATCCACCACAAGTCAAGACAAGATGGGACGAGCCGAAGTCGAGAAATAAAAGCGGAACTCGCTAGGCTATGCGATCGTGGCATCATGTGCATGCTGTAGGAGTGTGAGCGGACGGCACCCGGTATTCGTCCCACTGTATCAACACTGTTTGGGAGGTGTATATAGAGGTCGGGGATGAAGTGAGGAGGTGCATAGGGGAGTTACGAAAGCGAAGGAAGCCGTCAATCGGAAAAAATATTTTTTCGCATACCCTTTGCCCCCCAGCTAACGCCTCAGTTTTCGCTCGGGTCCGCCGTGCACAACAGCTTGAGACGAAACAATAAAAAAATCATACAGAGGTGCTTTCAGACTGTGTGTCGTCGTCGTCGTGCCAAGGGGGGCGGATCATTTCGTTGGCCATTCGGCAAAAGCGCGCGGCCGGCGCAAACAAACGACACACACACTAGTTTGACCAGAAGACGTATTCTCGTATTTTCATCGGCCAGCAGCCGATTAGCGCGGTCGATGCTACTAACAACTAAAACAAACCATTCTCGTGTGGTGCACAAAACGCGAGAGCGCACGGCCGGCAAAACGGTGTCTCGCCCCACACGCACGGCAGTCACACGCACCGGCTTCCCCGTTCCGGACCCGATGTCGTAGAACGCCCCGCCGCTTCCCTCCTGGAGGACCCCCGCCGGCCCGGAGCTGCCCACGCCCGGCAAGCCGTACTTGGTCTTGACCTTGTGCAGCGCCAGCGCCAGCGTCTTGAAGGTTATCTCCCCGTAGACCAGGGTGGAGTTGCCGCTCTGGTCCGTTTCGTCCCTTTTTTGTCAGACGGCCGGCGGAAACAACAAGAGAGGTTGCGGTTTGAATACGACGAATGCCATGTGAGATGTTGACTTGTTACGAACGCCTTGAAGGCGGTATTCTCCTTCGCACACAGAGCCTTGGTCATGTGCGCCCCCAGACCAAAACAAACAATGAAGAGACGCACGTGCTCTTAGGGCCGGCGGAGGCGTCAGAAGCACGAACGTGCGGGAAGCCGTGACGTTGGGTGTGCAAGTACATCACCACTTACAATGGAAGAGAAAAGTTGAGCACACCGCTGAAGCGAACCACCTTCTTCAGGAGACGAGAGATTTCCGACTTCGTCGTGACCAAAAAAAGAGACGAGAGGAGAGACGCCAAATAACCGCAAGAAACCCTTCTCTCCGCCCTGAGACATATGCTTTACGACGACGTGCCAACAACAGTCAAGAGAGGATACACCTCTTTCATCTCGGAGATGGCTTTCCCGACGCCATCACACAAACTTACAAGATGATGCACACCCGAATCCACGCACCTCTCTGTCTTCGAGATCGCCTTTCCGATGGCGACGGGGTGTGCCTCGAATAGCTTGTCGTACAAGGCCATCTTGCTATCCACCTGCAGAAATCCAACAGCCATAACGTGTTTGGGGTAATGGGTGTGGGTTGGAGGTGGAAATTCAACTGGTGCGCGTGTGCCGTGGGCAGAAGATCGGCTTCCGCAACCCCAACCGGCATAACAAAACAAAGCGCTTGTGCACCGAAGATGACCTTGTTATCCCCCACCCCTACGCCCAAAACGCTGCTGACTTCCTCTGTGACCAATGCCTCTGTGGCTCGCGAATACTTCTACCATACATCGGACGTGCTATTTCCTTTTTCGCGGTGTAGCGATACCTTAGTCTTTCATTGCTATCCAGTACTGTTGACGACCACATCAACAATGAACACAGCGTACGCCCCCCCGTACCCCACCGCTCGAACGTCTGACCTGGAGACCTTCCATCTGTGCGGTGAGGTCGTCTGTGTCCTCCTTCGGCGTCTCGCGGTACCTCGCCGCTCGTTTCCGCATCTCCTCCATCGCTGCCACGGCACGTTGTCGGCGTTCGTTGGAGGGCGTCGACGGCAGCAACGACGCCGCCGACGGTGATGGTGTTGGCAGCGACGGTGGCGGCGTCGCCGTCGAAGACAGTTTTGGTGTTGGTGTTGGTGTTGGCATCGTCGTCGTTATCGCGGCCGAACGACGAGTTGATTCCGAGGAGGTGCCGTTTGACGATGATGGTGGCGGCGGTCGAGGGTCAGCCACGACGGTGATGGAACTTTTTAGGGTCAGCGTTGTTGTTGCGTCTTTTTTTTTTTCGTTTTTTGTGTTGTTTTTTCCAATTTTCGTCACGTCGGCAGAATCGGGACAGGGGGGTGGGCGGGAAGAAGGTGTGTTGGGGGCAAGGGCATGGATGGAGCGCGGGCGAGTGGGGAAGGCGGGAAAGAAGAGTTGTACGTTGTATTTTATTTTGCGCCTTTCAGAAAGGCAGGTCAGATACACGCAGGAACCAAGGGCGGGTGTGGGTCACCTGAATCGTCGGTTGAATGATGGGGTAACTTTGTCCACCACAAGAAATGCACGAAGAAACACAGGCGAGGGATCTCCGAGCATTTGTTTGTTCACTACTGCTGTATGTTCACAAGTACGGACGGCTGCGGCACTGCTGTACCTAAATAGTCTACACATGTAGCAGCGCCATTCGGAGTCCAACATGAGATCTACATTCCGCGGGTGTTCAGGCTTCAGAGAGCTCCGGCTTGCGGCACGGAGACGGCTACTAAAAAATTCCTTAGGTCAACGGCCTAACTGTACGGATGCGTACGTTGCAACGGCATGTCCAGGGTGATAGTGGATCTCCAGCTATGTTTTACGTCGACGAAACCGTAAGAGTTGCAGTTCGTCGGACTCAATCGTTTTCCACATATTGTATGCATAACGCAAAACTGCGTACCATCTACTATAGATTTGAAGCTGGCGTTGCCTAGAGCAATGAGTCTTTCTGTGTTTGTATTTATGTTTCCTAATGACATACAACCACGCCCACGTGCCGGTTAATCGGGGAAGCAGACACATCAGTCTTCCCGCTGCAAAATGGTGGCTTGGCTTTCCTACAAAGCGCGCTGCGTCGGTCTGCTCCTGCTGCCTGCTGTCTGACCTTCCGTCGCATCCTCCCGGAGCGTCTGCGCCACTTTCGCGAGGTCTTCCTTTGTCTTGGCTTGCAGCGCTGCCGGAACTGTGTGGTCAGCGGTACTGGCATCGTGAACCGGTGCCTTCTCCTCTAGCTGGCCCTTCCCATCGGTGGCGGCGGGCGGTGTATCCTCGGATCGTGTTGACGCCATTTTCCTCTCAGGAGCTTGTTGCTGCTTGTCAACCAGCTGATGCTATCGTTGCTTGCAACTGACGCTGCCCCTGGCTGCACAGAGAGAGCAAGCGGGGGGAGAGGTTGTGAGTGCTGTCTGCTGTGTCGGTGTCCCTGTCTTTCCACTCACTTCTCACTTCTCTCTTGTCTCAAGCCGCCGTGATCAAATAAGCGGGCCAACCTCGCTCGGGCGCGGAACCGCACATTCCCAACCAATCTCATCCGCGGGCCCCCGCCACCTCGCGCGATGTCGCGAAGTGCGACTCACTGCGACACTGCGACACGGTGGCACTGCCGGCACGTAGCCAAGATGGAGAGGATAGAAGGACAAGTAAATGACGGGGATACTATTCTTGTGGACCATAGCGATGGCCGAACGTTTTTCGTGAAGGTGGAATCGGGCAAGTGAGTGTACCACCGAGACAAGGCTGATTGATGTACTGTATGCATACAATAGATCTTTAGCGATTGAGACTGGGTGCGGTTGTCAGCACTATTTACTACTGGTACAGATAGATTGACTATAGATTGTAGGTGCTGTCCCAAGCGTGCATACCTCTCCCGTATTTCTCACGACCACACCATTCATGCGACGTTCCATGACCTATACGAGCGCTGGTGTCGGCAATCTTTGCTGCTGCCCAAATGAAAGTTTTCAGAAGCGACAATTGCTGTGCCTGAATGCTAAGAGTCAAGTCACCATGATCCATTGATTGCATCTGAGCAGCGTGTTACCTGCGGCCTAGCCGTGCAACTCTTGGCATCCTGCGCAAGCTTTTGGCAGATTTCACGCGCCCCATGATTCTGGTGTTCTCATCGCTCTCTGTGAGCTACCCACTGGTGACTGGTTGCAGCCATTGGTGGTGACGCAGGACACCACCCCCTACACCCCCCGGGACAGTCGAAACCTCTCTTCGCTCCCGACGCGAATGTATGCATATAATTCCCAAACGGCACATTGCACTTGCTGCAGTACCAGTTTATCAGCTGGTGTCGAACAACCATCATCCTGTTGTGCTCATCCTGAACACTCCATATTTGAGCGTACATGCCTCGTTGTTGTTGAATGGACTTCAGAAAAGTATCGACCAGGGTGTCACACCGTTAGTTGTAGTCCTCCCTCGCCGGCCTGGTGTCCATCCTTTCACACTGAAAACGTATCTTTCCGCCTGCTCACGTGTTCTCTCAAATGCCGCACTTAACGTGCATGTCACAAACAAAAACAAGACCCCCATGGGCATTCTCCCTTTCTTCGTTCTGCGTACACACTGCTTGCTCGAAACTACGGGTCCCCCCCCGTCCCCCCCCCCAACTTCTGGGAGTATCGGAGATGTATGCATATCCTCTCTCAATACCCCCTCACACTACCACTTCCTCCCCGCGTGCACGATGTACTACCTCCCCCCTGTTCCCATTCGGGCGGAAGGCGCGTGAACATCGGCAAGACAAGCTGCAAGATGTCCTACCTCCTCAACGCCCCGTACGGCGCGGTGTTCGAGCTGGACGGCAACAGGCTGGTCCGCGTGGACGGAGAGCTGGTAGAAGCGGAGGAGGAGCCTCCGGGTGAGACGAAAAGAAAAACACAAGCGCACAGGCGTGCCTACGTACGGGGACCAGTGGCATGCGACAGTACAGTACGTCCGGAGACTGGGAGACGCGCGTGGGAGAGTGGAGGGACGGGGGGCGATATTATTCAGCGCTTGCCCGTTGCTAGCTGTGAGTTTGCTGCTGTGCATCCGCTCCCTGATGGTCGATGGAGGGGGTGTCGAAGATTCTTTCTATCTCCTTGATCGGATTGTATTTTGTTCACTTGTTTTAAGGGTAGCTGTATCCGTGCTCGCGTGTGGCTAAGGGAAGACAGAAAGGCTTAGTATTGGGCCCAAGCTGGGGGGGTGGACTTGTTTGATTGGTGGTGTGATGACGTGCAGACGCAAACCAGCTTTTCCGGGGGACGGGGACGTAGCAGGTTCCTTGCTTGACAGCAGTAGGAGCAGCAGAAGGGGCAATTGTGCAACGGGGACGCCAGTGTTTTTCATTGAGTGCATGATGGCTCTTCCTCCCCCCCTCCCCCTCCCTGTGCTTGGGTGTAAGAAGTGGGCTAAATGGCGGGAATGTGATATCGACAGGATGCATGGGACACGGACAACGTTTTTTAGCCACCTTTGGCAAAGTGTGAACGAAAGGTTGGCCATCGGCGATCGGTCCTGTGGAAACAATGCTCCGTTCTCTCGAGAACGCGAGGTCAACGGTCTAACAACGAAGGAATGCAAAACATGAATACCTCCCCCCCCTCCCCCGGCCGAGTGCGAAGACCGTGTTCATGTAGTCGCGGAATGTCGGCTGTACCAGAAGGAAAGGGACGTGTACATGACTGAGCTGGGAAAGGTAGAAGAAAAGTACAGGGAGATGTTTGACGCATGGGATAGCTAGGAGAAGACGTTCGCTCTCTGGGGAAGAGGAAGTGGGTTGAAAAGGCGGGAAGTGATATCGGTAGGATAGATAGACTAGGGGCGACATTTTTGAGCCACCTTTGGCAAAGTAGGAAGGAACAATTGGCCATCGGTGATCGTTCCTGTGGGAACAATTCTCCGTCCTCTCGAGGACGCGTGGTCAATGGCCTAACCGCTAAGACATGCAAAACATTAGAGTACGCCCCCTCCCCCTTCTCCCGCCCTAACCCCCCCTCTTACGACAACTTTCTTCAAACCCGAGTGTTTCCGTTTTCTGTCCCTCCCCCCACGACACCGTTCGTGGCAATCGCAAAACCACCTATGGGTACAAAACAACCCAACAACCCTCCCGGACTTCTTGGGGTGGCCTCTCAGGGGTAGTGGAAGAGGTCACCGCGGCGGCGCTGGCGTCGGACGTTCGCCCACAGGACAATCGAGGGTTCACGGACACCAACACCGCTCAAAAGCTTACCGAGGAGGACATCCACAAGATGAAGAACGAGGGGAAGGGAGGGCGGGCAATCATTCAGGTTTGTTGCTCCGTGGCTAGTTATTTGTGTGGTGTGTACGTACGCGTGCTTGGTGTTTGTGAATATGCTACTGCTGCGTGTTCCGAGTGATGTTCGTGTTGGCCATGAAAAGGGGGTTGTTTGTTGCTTTTTGTCCTCAAGCGCGCTTTTGATTCTGCCGTGTACGGGGCGTTCCTGTGTCCTTTGCACCTTCGCGTGTAGTGGGATCTATCAGCGTGCCCTCCGTTAGGCGTCGTCATCACCTTGCCTGCTGCGTTGTCGGTTCCTTCTTCTGCTCTGTTGCTGTTGCTGTTGCTGTTGCTGTTGCTGCTGTTGCTGCTGATGCGGCTGGCTCAATTGCTGCCATAGGCAGTCGTTTGCTGTGTCGACTGCATGTTGATGCTGTCCGCTGTGAAACCTTTGGGGTGGCCTTGGCGCAAGGCCTCCCCCCCTTTTTTCTTCAGCTTGGCCGCTTCTCACATCCCTTCCGTTGCCACTGCCACGGCTGCTGTCGCTACATACCGCTGTCGGCACTTCCATCGATGCTACCGCTGCTCCTGCTGCTGCTTTTCTCCGATGACGGGCAGGCTCTAATGGACAACAGCGACACCTGGGGGAACAAGACACAGTACAGCCAAGCGAAATGGCTCAAGCGCAAGCAGCAGAAGTGAGTACAGGGCGAGCACGCCGAAAGAAAGACACGGCAGGACATGTTCCCGTTCACATGAGGATGGCCGGGGGTATTCAAAGCTCGCCCTTTGGTGGGGCGTTTTTCAACCCCTCCATCCCCAGCTCAACACCGCCCGTCGCCTACCCCCGATAACGGCGGACACCACCTACTGTAGGTTGCGAAAACTCCGTGTTGAGCGGCATTCGCTCTTGACTATTACAAGAGCGGTTGCCATGCAAGCTACAGCCAATCGCGCGGAGGAAACTTGATTTTTTGAGATGCACATAATACGTTGGGGGAAAGGATGTGATGTCGGACACAGCGGGCGGAGAAGGCGTTGGAGGCTGACTGTACGGTTTGTGTGTTTGCTGCGAGCGCCTGCCCATGAGATCGCGGGCGAAGGGTACGGTTTTCGTGCACCGAACAAGTGTTGGCAGTTTCGAACAATGGAAACGAAAACGTCGCCGTCCTACACACACGCAAGTTCGAGCCACTGAAAACTTTTGTTGACCGGCAACTTGGCGGCGATCGTGAGTTGTCTTGTGCGCCAATACTACTCTGAAGATGTTCCCCCCCACCTCCAGCCCCGTATGGCGGAAGGTCTTGTCTGATGAGGATGATGCCCGCCCTTGCCCTCTCGTTCGTGTCACATCTGATCACCCCCGCTGTCCTGTCCTCCTGCGCTCGTTCTTGTTTTCTTCTGTATGGGCGAAAACAAAAAAAAGGTATCGGCCGCGCGTTCGCGTGGTGCGGGTCACGGGCCGTACCATGTGCGACGCGTACTTCGCCAAGAACCGCGAGAAAGTTAGGTGAGGACAGGTCGGGCGGCCCGAACGAGAGAGAGCAAGTCAGAGGAGCGCGTTGATTGTTGTTGTTTTTTCTACAGTATCTTCTTTCTCGCGCTGGTGGTGGTCGATGCCGTTTGTGTACTACTGTGCTGTACTGTAGCTGCTCGTCTTACTCCTTTGACCATGGGCTCCTGTGGCGGTGCTGCGCTGGGTTACTCGGATGTACGTGACGGTACTACTACTCCTGTTTTGTGTCCGGGGTTGGGGTGGGGCTTGGTACTTCTTTTAACTTCTTTTTTTTCTCCTCGCTGTGTGTGTCTCTCTCTCTGCGTGTCGCTGTCTGTGTATTGCGTATCTGTGTTTCTTCATATTTTCCTCCTCTCGACGTTGACCTGCCAGTCGTCTGTTCTCCCCCCACCTGCCCTTCCTCACGACGACTTTCACGAAAAGTTTCTTATGTATTCTTTTCTCTGTTTCCTTGGTTTCTTCGTTCTCTGCTGTACCCAGCAATTTGCGGAGCGACGCGTTGGCTCTGGTCCTAACTCACGCCAATGTCTTCGCGGGCTGCCAGGTGAGCGCGTGACGCAGGACATGGCAGAAACGACGACACCCCTCCCCTCCCCCAGTTAAAGCACATCACGCCTACATGGTCCCCCGCCATGACCGACCGGAAATTTTGAAGGATTTCTTGGACCACACGAGAAATTTCGCGTTGTTCTGCTCTGGTTCAGCTGGTATGCCTTATTTTTGTGTCCTCCATGGCCCGTCGGGTGATACTGTTTGTTTTCGCGCTCCAATTTCATGCTGTTGTTGTGGCCATACATTTTGACACGTAATCACACGAAGACCCCCCCCCTCGTACGGTGGGATGTCTCTTTGTTGGAAGGCTCTGGTCCTGGATACTTGCATGGGGGTGGTGACTGCAGCCATGCTAGAGCGCATGGGCTGCCAGGGGCGTATTTTCGCCCTGTATGCGCAGAGCCAGCCGAGCATGGATGCGGTGAGTTCGAGAGAGAGAGAGAGAGAGAGAGAGAGAGAGAGAGAGAGGTAGAGACAGAGGGAGAGGTAGAGAAAGACGGACAGACAGAGGCCGTAGATTGAATGATCTGTTCGTTTTTGAGATAGCATGCCTGGGCTCTGC